TCATTGAGCTTCTTCAGGAAAGCTATTTTGAATTCTTTTCTGAAAGATCATGTATCTCCATCACTCTGGGATTGGTCATTGGTATTTTATTTAGTTCGTTTGCTGAGATCATGTCTTCCTGGATGTTCTTGATCTTTGTGGATGTTTGTTGATGTCTGGCCATTGACGAGTTAGGTATTTAGACTAATCTTCACATTCCGGGCTTGTTTGAACCTGTCCTTGAGAAGGCTTTCCAGGTATTCAAGGGGAATTGAGCACTGTGATCTAAGTTTTTGATCACTATAATCATATCAATACTGGGGGCACCTGGTAGTTTTGCCTTGGTGGACTTGGGTAAGACATGGGAGAGTTCCCTGGATTACCAGACATAGTCTCTCACTCTCTTCCCTCACTCTCTATGCTTGGCTAATGATGTTGGGGGAGAAATGATGTGGGCACTTCTCATGGCCACCACAACTGGAACTGCACCAGGTGATACCTGAAGTCAGCCCATTCTTACCCAAAGTCCATGGTGACTGCTACCTGGCTATCTCTGATGTTTATTCAAAGCCCAAAGTCTCTTTAGTCAGCAGATGTTGAATCCTGCCAGGACTGCGTCCTTCTTTTTAGGGCAGTGGGTTTTCTTCTGGCCCAGGGTTGGTCTAGAAATACTTTCCAGGAACTGAGTCTTGGAATCAAGGGCTACAGGAATCTGCTTGGTACTTGATTTTACCGTGGCTGACCTGGTACCCAAGTTGCAAAACAAAGTCCTCAGAACTCTTCCCTTACCTTTCCCCAGTGGAAGAAGACTCTACCAGAGGCTGCACTGCCTAGAGTTGAGGGAGGGGTGACACAGGCACTGATTTCACTGCTGCTGCCCTGAACCAGCACAGCCACAGGACTTGTCCAAGTATTACAGTCTTCATGGCCTCAGTGCCTTATGAATTTATTTCTGGCCCCAAGCCACTTCTTCTCAGCTGGTGCTAGGACTAGCCCAGAACTAAGGTTTCTACTGCTAGATATCCCTCTGACTGGGCTGGTCTTAATGCTCCCTCCCTGGGCACCAGCAGAATTCTGCTCTGTGCTGTGTTGTCTTGTGCCAGGGCAGCCCTGAGTTCCAGTGCAAAGTCCCACAATCACTTCACTCTCCCTCCCCCAGGCACATAGATTCTCTGTCCACCTGGCATACTGGCGTTACACTGCTAGGGATTGGGACAGTGGTGGCATAGGCAATGCAATACTGTTCTGCTCTCTTTAGTGCCTCTTTCCTTGATATAATGTTAAAACCAGATACTGTGATCGCTAACCTGATTTTTTATTTTCTGAAGGTGCTTTCTTGTGTGGACAGTTGTAGTTGCTATTCTTGCAGAGGGATGATCACTGGAGGTTTCTATTTGGCCGTCTTGCTCTGTCCACCTCCAAGAATTTTGAAATTACATATAAATTTGTATTGATTAGGG